ATGATTACTGGTATTGATTGGAAATCTTTAACTATTCCAGCATCACTTCCAACAACATTTGATGTTGTACCATCTGCTGAAGAATTAAATCGTGATTATACACATAATTCATATACATTAATTCATGCTTTACCACCACAAGATGAATATGATCGAAAGATAAAACATATGTTTAATGCAAGTAATAATCATGAAAAATCAACTCCGTAAGATTTCATAGATTTTGTTTTTTTGTTTTGAGATTCTAAAATTAATTTAGATGTGATAATATGGAACGTCAAAGAATAACTTTTGATGAATTAATTGATCAACGATTATCACAAGTGAGATATTTAAAAGAAGAATTTTTTTTAATATTTTCAGACTTAGGGTTTTCAAATGATTGTTGAAATTCCTGCACATATTCATCAAAAAATGATTGATTCAATTCGACGAGCTGGTTGTAAAGAAACTGAATATAATCGTTTATTAAGTATTGGTAGAATATATCATACATTAAGTCTTGTAACAGAAGAAAGTCAATCACAAGATACAGTTGTTATTTATGTACAACAACATAAACCTCAGTTAGTAAAATAAAAATAAAAATATTCTATTCTAATTCAATTGAATTTATTAAAATATGTTTTTCAACCTAAATCTGTTATGTATAAATATCGTTTTCAATGCCCAGATTCTTCAGATTATGATTTAGCATATTATGAATTACAACTGGATAGTTTAGAATCATTTCCATGGAATTCAGTTGATAATGTTGTTGGAGATCATGGTACAGGCGATCATAAATTATCTGATGTATGTATACATGAAATAGAATTCTTATTTTTCATCTAATCATTCCTCTCGTTATTCATAATAGAGAAGGAGAGAGTCGAGAAAGATATATTTGCTTTTCATGTTATTTATTTTTAGTTAATAAAATATTGGCATACACGTCTTGTTCTTATGCTTGTGTCAAAAGATTATACAATTCGAAATATTGAATCTGGTCAAACAAAATGTGATAGTCGTGAAGAAATGTCACATGAAGATTTTTTTCTTTATGTTGAACATTTTGTTCGATTTTTATTTATGCTTAATGAACTTAATCGAGTACCTATTGGATCAACTAAATGTATACATCGAGTGAATATATAACAAAACTTTATTTTTTTTATTTAGTCTCTTGATCCATTAACTGGTAAAAAACGAGCTGATCCTCCTAAACGTCAAGGAAAAACTTTGTAAGATTATTCTATTTTATTATTTTTCTTAATTTTATTTTTTGTTTTTAGAGTTGCAATTGAAACATTTAAATTAGTTGATATAATGTCTGGCGATAAAGATGCAATAAATAATTTATTTCGAGATGATCAACAAGATTTATTATTTATTAAAGATTCTATAATATCAAAACATACTTTCATTGCAATTGACGCTATTTGGTGGTCAACTGAACATTGTAAAGATATAGAAAATGAAATTCAGATGTTTTATTTTATTTTTAGTTTATATTTACTGAAGGACATATTCGACATCGTACAAATATCGAAGCAAGTTTTCGTTTTGGATTTTTTCTGTATTATATTGTAACAGAAAAAACAAAAACTTGTAAATATATTTTTTTTCTTGATTTAAATGATTACGTTGAAGTTGAATTTCATTAAACTCAAACATATATTCCATAACATATGCAATACTTTTACAATTAGTGTTAAGAACAGAGTATAGTTCTTCTATTCAGGTTACGAGAACTCCAACAATAAGACTTTCGCCATGTGAACCTGGAATTTATTCTTCGTTATTTACAGAAAAAAAATTATTTTTTACACTATCATGCACTATAAGTTGCGTGTCATGATTCATTCTGTTGACTTTATGAGTCACTCACATACTTTTAAAATTGCCGTATGATTACTAGAAAATATTTTTATCATCGTAAGGTAAGAAAACAAATACTCCCATTACGACGTAAGAAATGGTTGCATTTTATTCAGCTGTTTTTATTTAATTGGGAAAAAATATTTACACGTTCTGTAAAGCAATAATATTGAATAATATTGCTACATTTATTTGCAAAATGGCAATGTCAACATTAGAATCACTTCCAAATGAAATATTAATTAATATCTTCGAAAAGTATATTAATGGTGTGGATATAATTATTGCTTTTATTGATCAACAAAATCAACGTTTCAATGGATTAATTATGCAATGTCGACATCACAATTTTAATTTTGTTAATTGTCAAAAAGATTGTTTTCATTATTGTATCAATTTTTTACCAAATTATATTGGCAAAATTAAGAAATTAGTTTTATCTGATCATAACACTCCTGGTCAAATTTCAACTTTTTTATTACGTTTTCCGTTGTTACACAATTTTAGAAATATTCATAGACTATCTATTAACTTTAATGCAGAAACTGTTTCTTGGATAAGAATTCGAAATGCTCTACGTTCTTTATCTACCACGAATATTCACACTTTAATAATTAACGTAATACATATGGAAAGACCATCAAGATTGAATTATATTAATTATGATATGTTTGATTTACAAAGTATTAAACGAATAGATCTACTGAGCGATATTTCATATGATGATTGGGGTTTATTACCAACTTTGTTCTCAAAAATTGAACATTTGACGAGCATTAGAATGTCATGTGACTTTCAATATCTCTGTTCTATTTTACAGAATGCTTTTCATCTCAAATATCTTAACGTTAGACTAGATTCTTCGAGCCTTAGTCGTTTTTTTAAACCGTATCAACACACAAACGATAGTATTATATCAATACCTGTTCTTCATACATTTCTATTGTCTTTTCAATCTACTGACCCAACAACATTCGAAAAGCTTGCATATTATTTAAGACGTATGCCTGCTTTACGTCGCTTAGACATTAAAGCACATGGAGCACTTCTTGATGCAAATGCTTGGGAGGCTTTACTTCAAACATCATTAC